TTTGCTGTTTGATGTCGCCTAGTACGCACTGTATATCTCCATCCAATGGGACTGCGACTAGACTATGCAGCTACCAGATGCTCTATGCCTTCCACATCGGTCAGTTATAAATGACGCTTGGAGAGTGCCAAGAATGGTGATGATGGCGTGGCGGGTATGCAAAACCCAAGTCCCACTGAAAGGAGCAAACAAAACGAGTGATAAGATATATAAAACTAAACTGTTCACCAAATTGAGCGCTTCCTTTGGAGATTTGAGTCATTTAGATTCGGACTTCGGCGATTATAGGAAGCTAGGACACTAATCCACAAGCAACTGAGTGGCTGTGGCTTCCCTTCATTTTGTGACCCCACTGATCACAGTTCAACTTAAGCAGTGGAATCTATCTTCTATATCTAACCCAAATATGCTATTCAGAAAAAAGTCGGAAGCTATTATTGACTTGTTTACTTTTTTCGCGGATCAATTAGAAAGATCTGCAATAAATAAACCTCATTTCATCAATTTCTTTTATGCTTCCGTCATCACCTGTTACTGCTAGGCTTGTCAAATGTAGTTAAGAGTGGAGATTGTTAAAATATGTCTTGAGTTTGAGCTCGAAGCGAAAATCTAAATATTTCAAATTGGATATTTTGCGGACGCCCGAAATCGAGCAAAGCAAAATACGGTAATCTTTGGCAAGTTGAAGTCGGCGAAGGAAGGAAGAAAGAAAATATACGCACGAATTGGTTTCCACGCCGAAGTCCAAGTTGGAAAAGTCTGATTGTGTCAGAAAAGGAAAAGTCAACTATCGCGTAGTTTGTTGACAAGTAAAAGAAAAGTGAATGAGAAAAAGGGAAACTTGGATATAGTTGACCGGTTGACCGAACTTCTACTATTTCCTATTCTGAGTAAGTCGGCCATGTGAACGTCCTTTTTCCCTGGGCTTACATATATATAATATTGTATTGCATGATTTGAAGGCACGCCGTTGTTGATGAAGATGGAGAAGTCTTGAAGCGCCACGGTAGACATGAAGAGATTCTTGAAGTGCCGTTTTTCACGCGAGCGCTTGGCATTGATTTCGTTCGTGCAATTACATCAATAATTTAGTGCTCAAGCCGATTAATTCTTATGGTAAGATTTGTGTACAAATTTTTTCGTGAGATTGAAAGATTATTTTGTGAGGAATTATGGAGCTAAACACTGTGTGATTTATTGGGTGTAATTGAGGCTTGAGAAATACTGAGAGTGTTTGAGTGGCTTGAGTGTGATTGTAATCTCTGTTGTATCGCTTGACCTATAGTGGAATTCGTTGCTCATCTCCCCGTGGACGTAAGTCATTACGACCGAACCAAGTAAATCTGGTGTCCGATTCATTTTCTTTATTCTGTCAAATTTACTGTTCGATCATTTACTTCCACAACAGACACCATGAGCTCGGTTTGGTCAATTAAAGAAGGAGAGACATTAGTTTCCTCCGGCTGACAAAATTGAGCTCAGTTTCTGCTCTGCTGGAAAATTAAACGACAGGTTCCTGGACATATGGGTCATGGCAAGTCCTGAAACGGTTGTTTGGCTTCCTAACAGGATAGTCCACTCACAGATTCAAACGCTACTCTGGAAATAAGCAATGAAGAAGAACTTGTTCTTCTCAACTAGTCAAAGAGTGTCATTTAGTCCACAAATTCAACCAGGGTTCTCAGAAACCCTGTTGTGCAGCTACTAGATTCTTGTAACCTTGTTTTTATGGAAAGCAGCGGTTCAAATTCTGTTAATTATTGTTGGAAGAGCTTTAATTACCTATTAGACACAATTTTGGTCTGTATGACAATGGGTTGGAACTTTAAAATGGGTTTGGAACATCATTTGACTTCCTGGAAAAGCATGGAAAATACTTTGTCTTTTGTTCTAGTCTCGCAGTACATCGATGTATCCTTTGTTGATGCCGGACTGAATCACTTCCCGGTTCTTACTGCTTATTTCTTATTTCCAAGTTTCTCTGGTGAAGCTAGATTCATCAACTTACAGTTGTTTTTTCTTCCTCTGAAATTAGTTAGTTCACATCTTCGGATATGCTAGATCCAACCTACTGTCCATCCAAGAAACTGGTGACCATATCGGGATTGCTTATAGTATGCACAACCTTAATTGTAATCTGGAAGAGAAGAATAAAAAGACGAGGTACGCTAAAATATAAATATTTTACTCCACGTGTTTAAATTCTGGATTGCTCTTTTCTTTTAAGGCTGTCAGAATATTCAGGACAAGGGCCTGTTGATTTTATGGATGAAGTCCTTCTAGTTGCCGGACTTCAGCACCGGAATCTTGTCATACTTCTCGGCTGCTGCATTGAGGGAGAAGAATGCGTGTTGACTTATGAATATATACCAATCAAAAGCCTGGATTAGATTGATGCTAGCTCCACCTCTAACACCACACACCACTCTTCCTGTGAATATTTTCTCCTTTCTAAGGCAGTTAGGCTCGCATGAGAGTTGATCAATCACTGTTTCTTTGACCATGCAGGGCCTCCCTCACTAGATGCTTTCTCTGTTAGTCATAAACATTCAAATAATACAAGTCAAACATGAATTTAGAAGTTTTTACATACCTTTTGATGAGCACTCCAGAATAGACTCTCGAAAAATAATTTTCCCTAAGATGGTGCAAATGTGACTCACCCAAAAACAAAAATCGATGTAGAAAAACAAAAATGTAGTTTAATACCATAAAAAACCTCAAACTTTAACTTTTGTTCCAGTTTTACCTTTTGTCTTATAAAAAACCTTCAACTTTAGGTCATGTCCCAATTCTACCATAAACGTTTTTTGTCCCATAAAAAACTCTCAACTTTAGGTTCTATCCCAATTCTACCATTTTTTGTCCTATAAAAAACCTCCAACTTTAGGTATTGTCCCAATCATACTGTCCAATCCAAATTTTGTCCTAAAATTTTTACAGTCTCACAAAAAACCAAAAAAATTTACTTAAGTCATAAATCTACCCCCATTAACCCTTCGTCCAAATTTTCTCGTTGACAACCAAGAGATGAAAAACACCCATGCACGAGTTGTTCGAGCGTCCCGAGCACTAGCTCTCCGACCGCAAGAGATGGAACATTTCTAAGCATGAGAGATCGAAGACCGAGCGCAAAATCACTAAGGGCGATTTTGATGGAGGGTTAGTGGAAGCAGATTTGGGACTCAAGTAAAAGTTGATGATCTTTTAGGAGACAAAAAAAATTAGAGTGAAATTAAAATTGGACCTAAAGTTGGAATTTCGTTATTAGACAAAAAAAAAATTAGGGTAGAATTGGGACTGGATCTAAAGTCGGGGGTTTTTTATGTGACAAAAAAAGTTTATGGTAGAATTGAGATATAAGGTAAAGTTGGGACAAGAGTTAAAGTTGGAGGTTTTTTAGGGTATTAGGCCTAGTTTTCATAGGATTTATGAAAAAAATTATATATGATATTGCGCAAGACAATGTTGCAGGTGATAAATTTCTCAATACTAATTCACTTGTATACGTACATGTGCATTTTAGACGGGATGGGCTGATTAGCACGGGAGATAAAAAGAAAAAGGGCCATCATTAGCGATTAGACGGCACAGTAAGGCCGCCAATAGATTACGACTTGCTGGAAAAAATCAAATTTCTAGGACCAAATTCTCTAGAGAGACGGAGAGTTTATGACCACCAATTTGACTTTGGCAGAGAGGATATCTCTCTTTAGCATTGCTCGATATATAAATTTTGGTCAATTAAATTCATCTATATAAAACAAATGAAGCCGTCTGCAACATCTATCGAGGCCCTGCAATATCAATTTAAAAGGCTAGTCTTAATACACGTAGTGTTTTCAAAAATTTTGTGGCCAGCAGAAGAATTTCGAGGTGAACTACAAAATTTTATTTTGTTTTTCTTTAGACCTTCTTCTCCTACGGAGACCATACGGAGTGTCGTCTTTGGAATTTGCAAGGCCAATCATACAGCGTGTTATGACCGTTATGGATATAAATATTCGCAATCCGATGACCAGGTTCTTGCCAAGTCAGACAGAATTTAGCTTGTCTGATGTCGTCGCCGTCGTTGTCGACTTGTAATTTGAATCTTCTCAAGATATCAATGTTCAACCTGTAGTAGGGACGAGGATGAAATATTCGAACATTTTTTAGTTTTGGCGAGTTTACCTTCACCTAAGGAAACTTTAGCCTGAACTTATCGATACAATTGGTCAGGTGAAAGATTTTATGAGTAAATCTTGAAGAAAATCTCGTTTACAATAGACATTCTACCTCCAGGCGAAAGATTTGGTCATTTAACACGCCACGCGGAGAAGAAGACCAGACGGATCGAGTCGAGGTCATAGAGGGCGTGAGATTATGAAGCTTCACGGCATGGAGGCCATCCTGTGGAGGTGTATCTCCACCCGATGGGACTGTGTTACCGCTTTCCACATCGTTTGGTCGTATGCGAGCTTGGACCGGTGCAGCAAGGATGGTGACAATGGCGGCAAAACAAAAAGCGTGAAGTGGTACGTTAATGAAACTCACCTTTTCACCAATTCGAATCATTTAGATTGGTCCTTGACCATTTCCGGAAGATCGGAGACTGACCCACGAACAGTTTTTTTTTTTTTTTTTGGGTTTGTCTTATTCTAACTCTCGATTCACTATCAGACGTTTGCCCTGCCTCTTGCAGGGCATGGGAGTCAAAACCCACATCTGAAACTATACGTTCCCACCCTAGCTCCCCTGAGAAGGTGGAGATTCGAACTCCCCACCTCTCTTTTCCCAAGTAGGAAAAGTGGCTACTGGGATCAACTCTAGTGGTTACCCACGAACAGTTGAGCGGCTGGTCTTCTGGTGTGACCCAACTCAATCCAAGGGAAAAGTGCCAAAAAAGTCTTAAACCTTTTGTATTGGTGCCAATTTAGTCATAAACCTTTTTTTGGTGCCAATTCAGTCCTAAACCTTTTTATGGTGCCAATTTAGTCATAAACCTTTTGTATGTTAGATTCAATCCGCAGTCCATCCAAGAAACTGGTGACTATCATAGTGGCTTCAGCCATTTCGGGATTGCTTGTAGTGGGCATGACATTGAGCATAAACTGGAAGAGAAGAATGAAAAGACGAGGTAAGCCAAATCCCTTTCTTTTACTTTATGTGGTCAAATTCTGGATTGCTTTTTTCTTGTTGAGATTATGGTATGGTTTGAGAAACTATTTTACAGCCCTTGAAGGCATGCCAAGTGGGACAGATGACATTGACTTGCCATTATATGATTTCGCTACTGTTGCTGTTGCCACCAACCATTTCTCCCAAACAAACAAGCTAGGAGCAGGCGGCTTCGGTTCGGTCTGCAAGGTAATCAGTTATAAGTCAATAAATTCAAATAAAAATAGAGGCCCTCAATGAGTAAAATACATGCAGGGAAGTCTTTCCACAGGACAAGAAGTAGCAGTGAAAAGACTGTCAAAATTTTCTGGGCAAGGTCCTGATGAGTTTATGAATGAAGTCGTTCTAATTGCCAGACTTCAGCACCGGAATCTTGTTGGACTTGTTGGCTGCTGCATTGAGGGTGAAGAAAGAATGTTAATTTATGAATACATGCCTAACAAAAGCTTGGATTATTTCATTTTTGGTTAGAACCACTTGATCTTTCTGAATTCCTTTTCACTCGATTCCTTATGCGTTTGTTCTGCCCGTTGATTCCTTCACCAGAATATACAGCTGATTGCTAACTACCTAATTAGTTTTTGATGGGGTTGAGTGTGTGTAGATAATGATAGAAGCTCCTCTTTGGCATGGAAAAGGCGATTTGACATTGTTTTAGGAATCGCCCGAGGACTTCTCTATCTCCACCAGGATTCAAAACTACAAATTATCCACAGAGACCTTAAAGCGAGTAACATTTTGTTAGATGATGACATGAATCCAAAGATTTCGGATTTCGGCCTGGCAAGGAACTTTCAAGGAGATGACACGGGCAAAGACTAGAAGGATAGTTGGTACATAGTAAGATTATCATCTTGATTCATTCGAACACTGCACTATCCATCAGTATTTTGAGGAACTGAAGCCTGATTTGCTTGATGCAGTGGTTACATGTCCCCAGAGTATGCCTTTGACGGAAATTTCTCTGTGAAATCTGACATTTTTAGCTTTGGTGTGCTTTTGTTAGAGATGGTCAGTAGCCAAAGGAATAGAGGATTCCAACATCCTGATCATTATCACAACCTTCTCGGGCACGTAAGTGGTAGATGATTATTAAAATCTGCCATATTTTTTTTTCGCTAAACAAGATCAGATATTCTGTTTCTCCTAAAATCTCATCCCATTTGTTCTTTGTTCACGTAGACGTGTTTTGCTTTTGATGCACAGATAGTGGTAATCACGAATGGTTTAAATTTTCTAGGCATGGTTGCTATGGAGTGAAGGGAGGGCCATGGAACTCATAGATGTATCTTTATGCAACTCTGTTGTTGAGTCTCAAGTAGAGAGATGCGTTCACGTGGGCTTGTTATGTGTTCAAAAGTTTCCTGAAGATAGGCCAATAATGTCTAGTGTTGTTTTCATGTTGGCAAATGAAGGAGCAACCTTGCCGCAGCCCAAAGAGCCTGGTTTCTTCATGGAGAGGCGTTCAGGTAGCTCAAAATCATCTTTGGTTAAGGAAGAAGCCTACACAACCAATGTTCTAACGGTCACATTGACAGAAGGTCGATAGAAATGCCATTGAGGATGTTTCTGCAGATTGTAGACCGGCATATGATAGTGTAAAGTTCAATAGTAAATTTGTCAAACAGGGTACTGAAAGTTTCAATACTCAATTTTAAGTATTGAAAATAAAAATGAAAAGTTGTTTGGTGATAATTGTCAAGTTACAGCTAAATGTTATTGATTTCTTACAAAGGTATAATAATGACAATTATTCGTAGGTTTGAGCAATATATTTGTCAATTTTAGTTGCCATCTATTTTTTATTATTTAATCCTCCCTTACTTGCCACATTAGATGGATTTTTGACTTAATTGAGTTTATCAAGTCAATGCTAATTAAGGTTACTAAGCAAGTTTAACATTAAGTGCTAAACTTTCAATTTTCAGCACTTAATTATGTCATCAAACTGGTCCTTAATCTATATATCGTGGTTCACATACTTTGATTTTTTTCAAAACCGAAAGTCTGAAAATTTTCACAACGCTCAATTTTTGACAAGTAGATTCACATATAATTTTTTCATATTCTTTTGAAATTTTAAATAATACTTTAAATTTCGGCGATAAAGCAAACAAAACATTTTTTTTTACTTTTATTTAAATCAAAGAAACAAGCCATGTTTTTTTTTTTATAGTAGCTGAATATGGAGTATTGAATAATATTGACTTGTTACCAAATATGGAATGATGAGCATTATTGATCGGTTTAAGGCTTCTAACAATATAATAGGCAAGATTGTAGTTTATTTTTAAATGTTTATTATATTGAATAGGGCTTGTTTAATAACCCAATTAAATGAGAAAATTAAAAAATTCAGTACCTAAAAGATTAAGCTTGTTTGGTAACTTATAAATAAAATTGGCTTAAAATATTCAATTAAGTTTTTTTTGACCTGTAAACACAATTAAGTTGAAGGGCCATGGTTAGCAATTAGATGCCACAGGAAGGCCATTAATATTTTTCTTTAGGTCCGCTATTTTAACTTTTGCAAAGATGGTATTTTCTTTAGCAGAGCTTGATATATAAAGTTTGGTCTATATATATAGTGATCCGACGAACTATAATTGGACTTTCAAACAAACTAAGCCACTTGCAACACCTAATAAGACTCTGCAATGTCCCTTACAACGATGTTACAATTGCGGGAAGCCGACCCAAGGTGGCTTTGCTGGTGAGATGGTCGTTCATCAGAAGTGCATTCATCACTGTAGCGGGAGAGGGAGAAAACATGAATAGCGAATTCAATTTGAGGCTTTTTTTTTTATTTTAAGGGTTTTGGTCATTGTTCAATTGGTTAGCACAAACTCCGACTTCAATTTGGGTATCGTCAGAAAATTTTGGGCAAAATTGCCCCAACTCTTGCCATGACGAAAAGCCCGCTAACAAACATTAGGCCGGTCGGCAAGTTCGGGCCTTATTTGAGGCTAAGATTGTTACTTTAAATCCTTATTTGAGATAAGGTCCATTTCCAACTATCATTTGAGAAAACGGCTTTACTTTATATCCTTATTTGAAATTTATTTTTTCTACTAAATTCTGGCCAGTTAAAAAAATTTCCATTTGAACCATAATATCTTGTTTTGTTTTCTTTGGACCACCTTTTGCCACAGTGACCAGTCGTTGGAATTTGCAAGCCTAGATTGCGTGTTATGACCGTTCCAACTCATGAATACGAGTAATCGCAACCCGATGAGCAGGTTCTCGCCAAGCCTGACAGATTTTAGCTTCACTGATGTTTTTGTCACCTTTTCCTTTTCTCCTTTTTCTCCATGTAATACAGACTTTTCTCATGTCATCAGTTTTCAATCTGTAGGAGGGACGAGGATGATTGATTCAAACATTTTGAGTTTTGGAGAGCACACCTTCACCTAACAAGAGGAAACTCTAGCCTGAAATTATCGATACAATTCGTCGGGTTAAAGATCCGTGCGGGGATCCTCATGATTCAATCTAGGAAAAAGTCTCGTATACAATTGACATTCTATGTCAGGGCTAAGAATTTGGTCAATTAACGGTGCCACGCAGCGAAGAAGACAAAAGGCTGCTGTTCGGGGCGGTAACGATCGAAGGTCGAGTCGACGTCGTGAAGGGTCTCAGATTATGAACCTTCACGGCATGGAGGCCATCTAGTATCCATGGTGTATCTCCGTCCGATGGGACTGCTTTACGACTTTCCGCGTCATTTGGTAGTATTCAAGCTTGGACTGGTGCAAGGTCGGCGCCATGGTGGTGCTCGTCGAGTTTTGCTGTTCGAACAATAAGAAATTGTCGCGCTCGATGAACTCGAGCACAAAACAAAAACCCTAGAATCTGCTCAGTTCTGCTTCGATTTGGGCACCGAACTCTGTCAAAATCGTTCATTCATATACTTCATTCGACAGCGAGGCTGACCTCGCCTAGCAATGAGCCTCGCCTAGCCATGATGATGCTCGCTAGTGGCTGGGCAAAGTCGACTTGGCAACTTCACCGGCCCTCACCTCATGACAGTAGCTGGGTGGCTAGAATAAGAAGTGAAGAAAAAAAAAGAGAAAGAGAAAGAAAATAAAAAAATAATTCGAAAAATTATTTAAAAATGTCTACTTAGAATGGCTAGCATCCATATCAGCGATTTCGGCTAAAATCGGCCGGATAGACTGAATTGGCACAAATGCAAAAGGCTTATGACTCGATTGGCAAAAAAATAAAAAATTTAGGACTAAATTGGCACAATTACAATAGATTTAAGACTTTTTTGATAATTTTCCCATCGAACGATAAAACAGCCCTTTTTTCCTTTAAGGTAAACACCAAAAAACCATCCCATATTTACCATTAATGGACGGTGCTTTTTTCACTCTTTCTTTGGCTTAGAAACTCCTTTTTGCGTGTGTTTTGACCATACTATCCATTGTGGGCCTCACCATTTCTGGTAAAACTCTATAAAAGTGATCTTGTTTTTTTTATTATTTGGTCAACTTTTTATTTGTTTATTCCTTTTTTCCTTGCGGGTCCCACTTTCCATCTTCTCCTTTCTTTCCACGCTTTTGACGAACTAGTCTTTTGTATTCTTTTTAGTGAATGATAGGTTGTTGCGTTCATTTTATGAAATAATAAAAAAAAAAAACCTCTTAGGCCCTGGAACCTACCATGTATTCCAGATTTCAAAAGGTAGGTTCCAAGTTACAGGTTCCAAAAAATAATGAATTTGTACCCGATGATAGATTCTAAATTCCATGTGGAACCGATAAGGAACTTGAAACAGCTCACCCTTACTCGTGGGTAAGAGATTTCCATCTGTGCAGAAGAGGATTGAGAGCCTATTTGACTATAAAAGGTCCAACGCAGAGGGAGCTAACCTTGTCATGAGAAAAGCAATAAAAACCTGACAATGTCAGAGAAAACAAATCATTTTTTAAAGAGTTGATTATTGCAAAACTGTGACTATTTGGTCCCCTCTATAAATTTAGAATATATTTAGTAACATTTCTATTTTTCTGTTCTTTTATTTCTCGAAATAGAAAAACAACATAAATTCGTTTAGTAACGTCAGTTAGTTTTTTTATTTTTCGGAATATAAAAGTAATCAGAGAATAGATTTGTAACGGAAATAAGAAATAAAAAATATATATTTTTCTATTTTTGGAACAAAAAGAGAAATAATAGAGAAACAAAATCAGCTCTCTCTCTTTCATAAGATATTATCGTACTAAACCGTAAATCCCAAATCCTTAACCCTCAAACCCAAAACCCAAAACCTTAACCCTCGAACCCTAAACCTCAAAACTTTAAACCTCGATACCCAAACCCCAAATCCTAAACCCTAAAATCCTAAACCTTAACCCTCAAACCCCAAACCCCTAAGCCTTAACCCTCAACCCTAAAACATTAAACCTCAATACCCAAACCCTAAAACCCATAACACTAAAATAAAAAACCCGAAACCCTAAAACCCTAAACCCAAAAACCCAAATCCCTAAATGCAAACCCTAAACCTTCTAAACCCCAAATCCTAAACCTAAAACTCGAAACACTAAACTCTAAACCCCAAAACTCCAAACCCGAAATCTTAAAACCTAAACCCAAAAATTGTAATTCCAAAGCCCTAAATCCTAAAACAGTAAACCACAAAACGCCGAATCCTAAACCATAAACCCCAAACTCTAAACTGTAAACCATATACCCTGAATCCCAAACCCCAATACCCAAAACCCTAAACCACTAAACCCCAAATCCTAAACCCAAGCCCTTAAACTCGAAACACTAAACCCAAAACCCCAAACCCGAAACTCTAAAACCTAAACCCCAAACCCTAAACCTTAAAATCCAAAACCCTAAACCTTAAACCCTAACTCCAAATCCTAAAATCCTACATCCTAAACTGCAATTTCCCCAACCACCATCCCGTATTTGCTTTGTCTATAAGGAGTAATTTTATTTATGATTGTATTAAGGTCATTCAATTCTATATCATAATATATTCTTATTCTATTTCTAGTCCAATTTTATCCAAACATAAATTGTCAAGCTTCCACCTATAATTTTATAATTAAATGAAAAAAATTGGGAGTAGAAATTTTTAGTGTCTTACTAAATGCATTTTTGTTCCTTTTCTACTCCGTGAATAGAAATTTTGTGCGGTTACTAAGAGTGCGTTTTTCAATTGGCCAAACAGTAACTATTTCTATTCTTTTGTTCCCAGAATCGATTTTGGAACATAAATCCATTTAGTAAATTTTTTGATCCCGGGCACAAATTTGCAAAAATTTATTTCCGGAATCAATTTTGGAACAGAATCAAGGAGCAAAAAAAAGTTGCTTCTTGATTCTGGGAACAAGAATTAGAAATGGAAAAAAAAATTTCTTCTTCTTCTTCTTCCTGGCCTATGACCGATCGCCGGCTGCTAGCCACCAGCAAAGGCAAGGGCAAGGGCGGCCCTCACCCAGGCAGCTAGCTGCCCTCGCCAAATTCGGCTAGCCCTCGCCAGATTCGGCGAGAGCGACACTCGCCCAAGCCGTGAGCCGTCCTTGCCAGATCTAGCAAGGGCCGCGATGCCCTCATCGGCCTTGGCCTGTGGCTGGTCACTAGCGCCGGCGATTTGGCCATGGTCAAGGAAGGGGAAGAAGAAGGAAAAAAAAAGAAAAAGAAAGAAAGAAATATTAAAAAAATTCAAAATATTATTAATAAAAAGAAATTTTGTGCAGTTACCAAATGCATTTCTGTTGTTTTTCTATTCTAATAATAGAAATTTTAGGCAGTTACTAAACATATTCAAATGCTTAGAAATTGTTCCTAGGCATGGAATAAAAAAGAATCATTTCTAAATAGAAATTGTTTCCGAAAACAGAATGGTTGCCAAATGCACCCTAAGGGTTTGTTTAGTAACGTTTCTGTTTCTTTGTTTTTCTGTTCTTTTGTTCCTCGGAATAAAAAAAGAACAGAAATCCGTTTAGTAAAAAAAATCTATTTTTTTGTTTCTGGAACAAAAAAGTGTTCCTGAAATAGATTTGGAACAGAAACAAGAAGCAAAAAAAATCTGCTTATTATTTTTGGAACAAGAAAAAAGAAACGATTTTATTCTAGAATCCTCCAAAAACAAGAAACAATCCATCGGCCGCAACCCGCCCACCGCCGCCTCTCGCCATCCTTCGCCGCCACCTACCGCCCATCTTTCGCCGCTAGCTGCCGGCCAACGCCCGCCGGCCGCCTCCCGCCCGCTGGCCGCCTCCCGCCCGCCGGCCGCCTCCCGGTCGCCTCTTGTCGTCGACCACTATTCTCCGCCGCTCGACGCTTGTTGCCACCCGCCACCGGCCGCCGTCCTCCACCGCTGGCTGCCGTGCTCCATCGCTCGACGCCGGCCGCCACCCGGCGCTGGCCGCCTCCCCCCGCCAACCACCTGACGTCGGCGATCACCCACCACCGATCGCCGTCCTCCGCCACCGTCGGCCACCCACCACCGGCCACCATCCTCCGTCGCCGGCCATTGTGCTGCATCGCCCGACGCCGCCCACCTCCAGCCCCTGGCCACCCGACGCCGGCGGTCACCCACCATCGGCCGCCATCCTTCGCCACCGACCACCGTGCTCCATCGACCGACGATGGCCACCCTCCGCCGCCAGCCACCTCCCGCCGCCGCCCCCCGCTGCCGTCGCCGCCGTCCGACGCTACCGTGTTCCGCCACTAACCGCCATGCTCCACAGCCTCCCGCCGCCGACCGCCATCCTCTGCCGCCGCCGACCATCGTCCTCCGCCCCCCATCGCCACCCTCCGTCCTCCGCCGATAGCCCAGAAGGGAGAAACTCGTCCATGGAATAGAAATGGATCATTCGCGCCCTAAACGCGTTTCTATTCTTTTTTTATTCCAGGAATAGAAATTTTGTGCAGTTAAACGCTATTTTTTGCTCAGAAACTGTTCCAAGAAATAGAAATAGAAAAAACTATTTCTGATCAGAAATTGTTTCTGAGAACAGAAACGTTGCTATGCAGACCCTAAATGCATTTTTTTGCTCAAAAACTTATTTAGGGAATAGAAGTAGAAAAAATTATTTCTGAATAGAAATTGTTCTGAGAATAGAAACATTACTAAACAGACCTTTAGGCTGCAAATGACAATCATTTTATTTCAGAAATTGATTTTTTTATTTCTGTTCCTGGACGAGTTTCTGAGCAAAAAACATGTTTGATAACAACACAAAATTTGTATTCCCGAAACAAAAATTTATTTGATAACGGCACAAAATTTCTCTCTCTCGGGTGGTCGGCGAGTGGACGGCCGGCGGATGGTGGCAGCGGACAGCGGGCGCTGGGCGACGGACGGTGGCAGTGAACGGCGAGCGGCGGACGGAGGGGGGAGGCAACGACAGACAACAACGTGACCAATGCCGAAGACAATAGCTGGAGGTGGCCGGCGATAGGAGAAGGGCAGCAATGGCAGGAGACGGTGACCGGTGGACGGCTACCCACGACGGCCGACGAGGGGAGATGAGCGGCAGCAGGAGGAGGGTGGCCGGCGGCGGGAGCAGTGGCCGGTGGACGACGGGTAGTGGCTCATGGTGGTCGGTGGGGGGAGACGGGCGGCAGGGGAAGGAGGGCAACTGGTGGACGGTGGCCGGCGGCTGGCGGTGGGAGGTAGGCCACAGCCGGAGGCAAGCGGTGGCGGGAGGTGGGCACCCAACGGTGGGAGATGGTGGCCGGCAGTGGGCGGCGGTGGCGGGAGGAGGGCGGCGGTAGATGGCAAATGGCATGATACGAGCGGCGACGGGAGGAGGGTAGCCGGTTGCAAGAGACGGTGGCCGGTGGACAGTAGGCGGCGGACCATGGCAGTCGACGATGGGAGGTGGGCAGCGAGCGGTGGCCGGAGGAGGGCGGTCGGCAGTAGGAGACGATGGCCGGTGGATGGCCGACGGCGGCAGGAGACGGCGAATGGCGGGAGGCGGCGGCCGGCAAGTGGGCGGTGGGTGGGCGACCGGTTAGTAGCAAGGGCGAGAGATGAAAAGAATTTTAACTTCTCATTTCTGTTCAAGAAATATAAAAACAAAAAATTTTAACTTCTGATTCATGTTCCAAACCTATTTCTGGAACAAAAATTTGTTCCAGAAATAGAAAATGAAATTGCGTTACCAAACGAATTTATGTTCCAAACTTATTTCTGGAACAGAAATAGCCTTAACTTCTCCTTTTCTTGTTCACAACTTCATCAATTCTCCTTACTTATCATTCCCTTTAGAACTTCCCAAAAAATCCCGAATTTTATATACGATTTCTTCAAGAATGCGCAATGCACTCATATTAGCGGCGGCACCCGACCCACTTCCTTCACTACCCTGAGGACACAACCAACTCCATACGTGCCCTGGGGCCCATACATACTCGCTCGACCTGAGCCGCAAGAACAACCTGACGACATTGACAATGCATGACGATCCGATGATTATACGGAAATGCAAATTTGGGGGAGCACCCCTCCACGAGGCACCACCCTTCCTCTTGACAATGAGGACACCTAGACCCCAACTTCGAAGAGTAGCTAGCAAACTTCGACCAATGTCGCGCAACCTTTGCCACGAAAGTCTGAAGTATGTTCTCAACATCATGGACCTCCCCAGTGGCAAGAAAAAGACCATCTAAACTATATGTGTTGCGAACTTATCCGCAATATCTGGGGGTGGGACAGGTCACTTGAAGAGGCACCAAGATAAACATCTCATTGAAATGGCCAAGCTCGGGGGGAGCTCCGTCGCCTCTACTGCAACGGGCCACACCAGAAGTCCATCCATGTACGAAGAGGCCCGGGCTCGACTCCTAATTGCACGGTAGACCCTCCGGGTCGGGCACCATTCGGGTTTGCCCAAGATCCGAGGACCGTAAACACCAAGAACAGCAATGGTTGGTACAAGGAGAAAAGAGCAGAATTGATGCAGCTGCTATCCACGGGTAGCTTTTGAGTCTCGTCGGCTTCAAGATTTATGCACTAGCTAGCCTTTTTGTTGTGTCATGGGCCAGATCAGTTGTTACTTCACTGAGTTTTGTCATCTAAAAAGCATCCATACCTACACAAATCAAAACAACGTTTGCTACGAAAGTCCTGAGAACAGCGACTGACCTTGGCTTTTTGGACGATTCCACCGCCGACACACCGATTGCTAGGACCGGCGGTGACTTTTTCCGGTCCGGTCATTATTGCCTCTGAAGAAGAAACTGCTCAATTACACCTCGCCGGAATCTTCTTTTTGGGTATCTACGTGCTCGGATCCGAGGTTCTGAGATAGAGGGGTTCGGAGCGCTGTTTGCACAAAAGTCACGAGAATTTGGGCCTTGGTAATTCCGTATCGGGGACGGTACATAGCTGGGCCGGCGGTGGCTATCGCTAAGCGTACCTTAAAGATATCGAACAAATTTCGAATCGATTTATTCAGGTTTCGAATCGAATTGGTCGACCATAAAAAGCTCCTAATATACATCGAAGCAGCGGAACCTCGAGCTAATACGATCCCAATTTCAGTTGTCTGCAAAAAAATTTCTATTCGTCGGTCGATAGTAATTGTGCTTTGAGATAGCTTACACGATTTATCCACCGTGATAGGCTTCGCCAATGACAGGTTCTACACAATAACTGAATCATGGTAGCAAGGTCACTTTGCCACTTACAATTCACGTCGCATATGGAAGTCGTTGAGTTGGGGAGCGGATGATAACCATTTGTATTTTTTTTTCCTTTTTTTTTTTGTTCTCGGGAATAAGTTTGCAACAAAAATCTATTTGGTAAAATAATTTAATTTTTCTATTTCCGGGATAAATTTTTAGCTCATAAATGGATTTGGAACAGAAATAGAAATGAGAAATTAAAATTTTCTGACTTTTCTATTTTCGGAAGAGAAGCAAAAATAACAACATTCTTTTATATTGCTCGCCCTCGCCGCCCGCCATTGCCTCCCATCGTCCGCTGCCGCCCACCCGCCGCTCGCCTGCCGCCCGCCGCCCGCCCCATCAGACGAATTTCTATTTCGGGAATAGAAATTTCGTGTCGTCATCAAACTCTACTCCTTGCTCAAAACTTTATCCGCGGAATAGAAACGGAATTTTCCATGTCTAGCCAGAAATAGGGACCGGGGAAAGAGGAATTTCATCGTTCGCGTCCTTACACAGGGCCACCGGAACGGGCTCCGTCACCGTGAAGAGCCGAGCAAACGCCGTTAAAACGATCAGGATGGGCGAGCGGCGCTTCCCCCTCCCCCCGCAAACGAGAGAAAAAAAAAAAAAAAAAAAAGAGGAAGGAAGGAAGCAAGGAGGAAAGAAAATCGCCTATTTCACATGGCGAGAGGGTCCATGCTTCGGCCCCTCTCCCCTCTGTCCGTCTCTCTCTCTCCCTTCTTTTCTCTCTCTCTCTTCAAGGTTTTTTCGCAGACGTGTGGGATAGGAGCCATTCAAGTTTCTTTTCTGGGGAAAAATTTCAGTTCGCTGATTCCTTGGAATTCATGTCGGTACGTCCCCCCATCTCTCTCTCTCTCTCTCTCTCTCTCTCTCTCTCTCGATCGATCCTCGCGCGAGTCCTTGCTTCTTTCCTCCTCCTCCTCCTCCTCCTCCTCCTCTCTGTCGCCAGCGCACCGCCGATTCCCTCCCCACCCATCGGAATCGGGGGGCCCCCCCTTTTTCTCTGGGCTTCGGTTTCTGTCGGTGGTGGTGGTGGTGATGGTGATGGTGGTGGTGATGCGTCGCGGGGTTTCGTGGATTGCGGTCCTTTTGGGGTTCGATCGCGACGATCTTCGCGGGTTTTTGGCCTCCCCCCGCCCTTCCTGCTGCGCCGATCGGTGTGGAGTTCGCGGCGGGTTTTGTCGCTCGATTGGGGTTGTTGGGTTTTGTGCTCCCGTGCTGTGGAATGATAATTGGTGCGACTCTGCAGTTGGGTTTGGGTTTGGGTTGGGTTTTTGGCTGGCTTTGGAGGATTCCAGTTTCGGTGCTCGCTCTCTTCGAGTTAAAAAAGTTGGAGTCTTTAATTTATTAAAGAGAGAGAGAGAGAGGGAGGGAATTCGTGAAAGTAGAAGTGGTTTTCTGCGGAGAGGTTTTCTTGAATAAGCATGTTCAAGATTCCTCCGGATTAAGGCGGTGGCCCGGATAGATATCGAGATGGATGAAGAGCTTGGGGTGGGGGTGGGCTTCAGTGAGATCTTTTCCGAGCAAAGTCCAGATGAATTGGATATAGGGGGGGGGGGGGGGGAATTCTTAGAAGCCAGCCATCTGATCTGGTCTAGTTGCTTCTGCTGTGTCGTGATTAATTATCTGTTCATGGCATTGTTCGATGGTCGATTGATCGGTTAATTCGGTGATCGGGCGGAGGTGGAGACTGCTTGGAATGTCGTGAGTTTGGGGCTGTGTTATATGTGGTCGGTCAATGGTGTTAGGTATCATTCTCGCCCTTGTCGGTGGTAGTGTTATTATCCGTGGTTTAGGTGGTTAGTCGACAATATATGCAATCAAGTCACCCCATCCCACTTCCCATGCCGTCTCTAGATTGTTTAGATCACCTTGACCACAGAACATTCTTCATGGTGCTCATTCTCCTGGGTGAATATCGTGCTTAATTGGTTTAGCCTTCTATGAGTTGTTGTTAGTGTTATCCCGATGTTTTCTAGATAAGCTAACACCTCAGTGGACATTTATGTTTCACAGTCCTTATTCATAGCTTGTTCTGTGCACGATAACCTCATATATGAGACTCTTAATTGCGTCCTTGGCTCTGCTATTTAATTTTGATTGGCGTTTCTTTATTTTCCTTGACAGGAAAAGGGTCAACCACTGCCAAAGTTCGGTGAATGGGATGTCAATGACCCCGCTTCTGCTGAGGGATTTACTGTGATCTTCAACAAGGCTAGAGATGAGAAAAAGACCGGTGGCAAACCTGAATCTCCAGGAAAGGCTGATGCTCAGACTAAGCATACAGTTGATCCTGGCAAGCCACCAACTGTGAGAGTCTCTTGATATTTCTCGACAGTAATGCATGAGAAGCCTGCCAGCATCACTTGCCCACTTTATAGACATACAATAAAGAAACTTGTGTAGACTGCTCCATGCAACAAACTCTTTTAAGTCAGATTAAACTAGAACTATCTCAGGTGCACTATCTGGGAGAAAAAGTTTTGGTTGTGTGCATAAGATAGACTGCATATATGAGTGGGAAAATCTAGGCAAAGTTGGCACCCCATCAACATAGAAGATGGTAATACTCTTGGATAGATTAGTAGGTGGTGGGTTAGTACAGAGGGCTCACCTGAGGTAATAATAAGGATCATCGGATTTTTGCCATTTTGTGGAAAGTTCTCTTATGGCTACTGAAGGTATCGGCAATTCCCCGGCGAAGCTGAATGAGCTAATAGAAGGTATCGGCAATTCCCCAGGGAAGCTGAATGAGCTAATTGCTATTATTTTTAGAGTACCACTAACCGTAGACCTGTAGTCCATATGTTGTATCTGATTTGGCGTCGTGTTGCACTATTAGGCTCTTACCCAGATAAATTTGGCGCCATCATAGGTTAATGATTATAGACTTTATCTCTCTGCCTCTCTTATTGTAACCCTAGACCTAACTCCCTGATGTTCTGTTTGTGGGCATTTTTCAGAAGAAATGGTTTTGCTGCATCCAGAGCTCACCTGCAGAATCTTGATGAGGAACTCCTTCTGTAAAAGCTTCGGGAACAGATGAGTCTATCTCTTACTAGCCCCGCAGTTTGTCAAGGAGATCGGAAAGTGTTGGGCGCTGATGTGTCTTGCTGGGATTGTTGTTTGTTCTGTGAACCCCCCCACGGTTTGTGGGGATTGATTACGATTAAATGGAGACATCCTCGTGCTCTGCTGTAATCAAGTCTGCTATTTTGCTGGTTATCTTTAGGAGATGAGTTATTATTTCTTTCCCCTCTCCCCTCTCCCCTCTCCCCTCTCTCTGCCTCCTCTTATGTTCTGGGGTCTATAGCATTTTGTGGTTACATTTGTTTTCTTCTCATTGTACGGGTTGAAGTGGTTTTTGCTTGTGAAATAAGAAATTCTTTTTTGCCTTTGCCTTTGCCTTGTTCTTGCCACTGTCCTCTCTCCCTGGGATTTGCTCATTAGTTAACACGTCCAGTGCTGTATCCGAATTTTCGTCGTGAAGATAACCTCCTATTCGGTCCTTCAGCTAAAAATAGGGACATTATGCATTTTGGTGCGAGACAACTAAGTATGCTGATACATGCGATGCCAGCGACTTCTTTCAGACGATAGATGAATGGCCAAATGTGGGGCGATGGGAGATTCGTTGCGCGAGACAATAGCCAACTTCGATCGATAGGGCGTGTGAATGATTTCCAATGGATGATCTACCAAATTTTCTGATATTGCTGTGTGGAATGGCAGGAGAGAAATCTACTGTCATTGGATATAGATTGCGTCCTTAATTATGGTGTCGAGATGTTGCAGGAATTAAGAAATTCCAGGGTCGATGTCCCACTAGGCCGGCCATGTGCAGTCAACGACTCAACGGCCTTAAATCAGGGGAGAATGCGAGAGGAATTGGCTCTGTATCATCCAAGAACGTAAAATCACATGTTACTTCCTAAACATTTAATAGATTAATCTGGACAATCAATCTATCAATCGTTCTAAAGGCAAACAAAAATCTCGCACTTGATCAGTTACTGTACATGTCCGGTAAAGAGCGGGAAGATGCGTGCTCTTATGTTGAGAAGCATCAATATCCGGCGAATAATTCAACTGCTTTACGCGACACGATGAAGAACTAAACTCTTGACGTCCCAAGCTTCCTTTCAAAGAGACGACGGAGGAGGTAAACTTGAAGAACACTTGCTCCAATGAGTGCCACCGACTCGAAAAAGGCCTTATGAATTGCCCTTCGGCTCATCGAATCGTTCACTGCGTCACCAAGACATAATAAGGACTAACAACTATCTGAATCAACTGCTAAAATTGCAAAGCCCTTACTAGTCTGCTAATCAACTAGGGCAGAGCTCAACAGCATGAGATGTTCAAACGGAAGCATTGAGTAATGCATGCTCAGTTCCCCTGTATACTCGAGCATAATTGAAGAGACACTCAACTTAAATTTTTAGAAGATACACAGAATTCATCATATACCTATCGCTTGCCGTTCAGTCTGAGCCTCTAGCCAGTGCTGCTCGAATTGAATGTTGTAAAGAGCTTCTTCTAATTTTCCTATCTGCTCCAACAAAGGGTTGAAATGCTCTGCATGCACAAATAAACAGTAAAACTAAAGTTATATCTTCACATTCTCGAGGCGAACAAAAGGATGGATCAGTGATATCAAAAAGAGGCACATGTTACCATCTTTTGCATGCTCATCATGGTATGAGAAATGCCCAACATGTACGTCGAAGTCAACGGTTTCATGATAAGGAGACTTGTTAGTGAAGCAGAAACGGTGGACTCCTTTACGATGAGCGACGAAATCAAACTTCTCGCTTATCTTGTCGCGAAAGTCGTGGATCTGATCACCAGAAGGTCCCTTCACCTAAAAATTTCAAGAAAATTGAAAGATCACCAATTGGCAATGGCACTTCCACATGAATGAGGCACACAGAGAAGCCACTCATGGAAAATATAAGAGTGTGAAAACCCATAAAGAAACTGTCAACTTTCAAGCTCAATCATTTTTCGTAGTTTTTGTTCGTATGAACAGACTATTTCCTATCCAGTGTAACAAAGAGAAAAAACTACTGAAAAGTCTAAATGTAGCATCCATGGGAAATTGAAATTCCAACAAATGCTGCGAAAGACCCTTCTCAATTCACGTTGTTGGCTTCTTCGTACCAATAGATTACGTAGGGTTAAAATCAAACAAATAAGTTATCCAGCAATACAAAAGCCTTTGAGAGAGAATGATTTGGAGGGCCCTTGACCCATATGGCACGAGCGTAAGGACAGAAACTACTACAAGACCCCTTTCTCAGTTTTGGCTGCAGGCTTCATAGAGCCAATCGATTGCATCAGGTTTGTAAATATGAGCCAGGAAACCGGCCAAGAAACACCAAATTTGCATTCTTTTCAATTTTCACCTCTAAAATCGAAAGACCAGAGCCATCAGCACAAAATAAACTTCACCCACACAACTAATTATGCCTGAACCTAACAGATTTCAAATCCATCATCGATTCCAGCATCATAAGAAGGAAAAATTTTCCCAGCATCATAAGAAGGAAAAATTTTCTGTTTCTGTGCAAATATTATCAACCAGATCTAAAATGAATTTCAGTAGAGTGGTAGAGCATCTACATCCTGCAATGTTATCTGGTGCAAACACAGTTGCTATAATGCAACCACTCGAGTTTAGCAGTCACATTAGCCATTCACTCTCAAGCATCAGACAAAGGTGCACACGCATATCAATACACGCGTGCGCCAGAGAGAGAGATGACATCACAGCCAATCAAGTTTGTGGAACATGACCATGTAATTAATCTCACGAAAAAATTAGCTAAACCGAGGAACTTATATCAAGCTTACCACAAGATCGACACCATCTTCAGTATAATGCCAAGATGAGTCAGACTTGATCACGACAAAAGAAACGTGCACTGTATCCCCTTCATACTCAACATTGTGAGAGAAGCACTCCTCTCTGTCGATAACGATTCTAATCCCGGACACAGCTCGGAGGCTTGAAAACAGCGCCAGCATTGCGACAAGGACGTGCCGGAACGATGGACAACCCATCTGTTAAGTGCATATGGAACATCTCAAGAAAACAGCACATGGGGCAATAGAATCTAAAGAGTCCTAACTTAAAGAAAGAAAATATTTTACAGTGAAACCCAATTCAGCTGTTGAGGATGGCAATTACAAGAATTCAGCATCAATAATGCTAGCGAACATGGATTTACAGTCTCATATCTTTTACACAACAGAAATCCAAACAAATGGAGCTGGAGAGACCTTATATATTCCCATATCAAATACTTGAAACATCTTAAAGTCTTCTGTTGTTTTCAGAATTCAGAAACCAGACAAGAGAAGAGACGAACCCAGATGCAAGACTACATACAAATTCTACCTTCACGACAATCAAGAAACGGCAAAAACAATCCAACCAAGCTCTAGATACGAAGCAACTAAAGGAAACCATATTCTATACACGAATTGAAAAAGAAAAAATCCAAGTCATTAGCATATCAAGGACTTATTCAAAGAACAAAACAAAACGAAGATAACGCAATCGAAACCGAGTGCGTCCAACCCATCTCATACGCGGAGATATACATGTCCATGCAGGGCAGATTCGCAATTGCCGAATCTGGGGACTTGGGTCGCAAAGATTCAAGCGGAAAAACACCAAGAAAACCCAAACAAGAGTAGGGAAGCAACGGATGATCAATAAGAAGCATTAGACAGATCGAAACATGTTGGCAGATAAATCCCAAAACAGAGAGAGAGAGAGAGAGAGAGAGAGAGAGAGAGAGAGAGAGAGAGAGAGAGAGGTAGACTAGTTCAAAAGAAAAATTACTGCGAAGGGGGCTCGAAGAAGACGCAGCAACTGCAACGGGTACGGAGATCGGGAGGCGACGAGGAAAGATGTGAAGGTTGCGGGATCTTCCTTCCTTCCTTCCTTCCTTCTCGTGCGTGTGCTTGCTTGCTTCGAGTTTCGATCTCGAAAGGTTTATTGTCCTTGGGGGGGTGTTTACTCTGTGTCTGGTCTTAAAGTTCGGCACGCGATCGCGTGGGGCCCCGATATGCTTTCGTCACGTGAGCACGAACGGAGGAGATTAGTTGGATCGAGTCTCGCGCAAGTTCCCAACCCTAATAATTCAAGAATTTGAGCTCGGGAAAATTTCCATAATCCCCCTCCCCCCCCCCCAATGAATCTCTCTCCCCAGCTTAGATTTCATTCCTAATATTACCAATGAAATTATGACTTATGTATCAATAGGACCCCGAGCTCATCGTTGCAAAAAATCGCCGACCGACGAGCACGCGCACGTTTTCCATGATTACAGGGGAGCTTTTTTTTTTTTTTTGTGGTAAACATAAGGTACAAACTAAGTAAATTAAAGTCTAACGTCTACAATCCCAACTTTCTCACTAAGCAAAACGTGAGTTAATGCTCTAGGAGGCTGCAAGTAGAACGTAATATCCAATCGCTCCGTTGTGCTAGTAGGTTGATTGCCTTCTCGAAAAATATGATGCATTTTGAACTTAAAAGAGAGCCTAGTAGTCTCATGATATCTTTAAGTAGTGTTGGTGCAGTGTTATCTGCCGTACTCTTTTGGTTAACAAGTTTGGTGATAATTTTGGAGTTCATTTTAATTATGAGTTTATGGCAACCATGTTGCTTTGCAATGGTAAGTCCCAATTATAGCGCCCATAGTTTTGCTTGTGAAGATGAATATATTCCAAGAAATGAGGTAAAACCGTCAAGCTAGTCACCCCCTTCATTTAGGAATAATCTTCCAGCTCCTGCAAATCCAGGGTTACCTTTAGGCTCTCCATCTGTATTCGGTTTAATCCATCTCGAAGGTGGAGGATCTCAGGCGACCATAATGGGAGGAAATACGTGATCCACGTCTAGACAAATTGATCATGTGCGAAGCTATGATTTCCTTCGTGTGTGATTGGATTAATTGTACACGGTTGGAAGGAAAAAGAAGGCTTTCTTGAAAAAATGACTTGTTTCGCCATTGCCAAAAAGGCTATATACTCACGCCAAAAAGGCTATATACTCCATCATAGTGAAGTTGAATCTCCCATTGTCAGCCAGATTGGACTTCAATCATTGAGAAAAATTCATTGAGAAGAACTCTTCAAGACAATGTTGTGGGATGAGATCAACCCGTATGTTCCGAATGATTGAACAATCTCGCTAAACATGCAAAGTTGTTTCCACTGAAGACTCACATCGCAGACAATAATGGTTACTTCCCAGATTACAAGACATCCTCAATTCATTAGTTAATAAACACTTATGTGCCGCTAGCTAAAGGAATGTTCTAATATGTTGAGGTCCCCTCCACTTCCATATAAGGGGCCATATCCTGTCAGTTTATCGATTGTCGATCCCTATGATAATTTTACATGTTGACTCAACAAGGAAAGATCCACTGTTATTACCTTCCCATAGTAGATTATCTTTCCCATTGGCGGCTATCGGGGGTTTGATAGCCCAAATTCTAAGGATTACATAATGTGAAAAGTTTCAATTCCTATTCCGCATATAATCACGAACTCTTTTGTCCATCTCAGATTGAGATAGGTGGGAAGTAACTTTGTAGTGGAGTGGCTCCAACCTTAGAATCCACGTGTCTTTCCAAAAACTTACCTGTTCTCCATTTCCCAAGCTCCATACCACTCCTTCCTCTAAAGTCGGACATTAACAATTGCTTTCCATAACATCAAATCCCCAGGTTTAGCATGGACAATATTTCTTTGTTGTGAACAGTATTTAGCATGCAAAACTTGTGTCCGTAAAAAGTGAGGTTGCGTCTTGAAGCCCCAAGCTAGTTTCCTCAAGAAACCTTGGTTTGTAACTTCAAGGGGTCTGAGACCAAGACCATCGCATATTTTAGACTTACAAACAGACTTCCAATTCAGAAGGTGTATGCGACGCTTGTCTCTGGTATCTCCCCAAATGAAAACATGACAACCTTTTCTCAATCTGTTGACAAACATGAATTAAGACTTCAGAACATTGCATATGATAGATAGGGATAGACATGATTGCAGATTAAGCTAACGTGATACGGCATGCCATTGACAAGCTATCAGACTTCCATCCACTAAGTCTATTTGTTGTCTTCTCTACTATAAGGTGAAAATGCCTTGAAGACGTTCTTCCATGAATCAAAAGGCACACCCATATATTTGCCTAGATCTAAACATATTAAAAAGCCCGAGATATTGCTTAAGATTCATAGAGAAGTATTCTTTGAGCAGAAAAGTTTAGTTTTAGCCTTACTCACAATCTGACCTGATCTTTGACAAAAATCATCCAAGCACTCCTAGACGACATTCATCTGTTCTGTTGAGGCTTTCGCCAATATTTATAGTAGGGGTGATCGGTTCCACGGTGGGTAGGGTTCAAACCTAGAACGTGGAACCTACTCAGTTATAATCGGTTCCTGATTTTTGGAACCTGAAATCTATCATGTTTTCCCTAAACACTGTTTTGGAATCTACCCTGTTTTTTCGGTCCGGTTCTAGGGTCGACCCGAGAACTTGTTTTTTTTTTTTTTTGTGTTCGTTTTCAGGTTTCATTTTTTCAAACGGCATCTGCTTTCAAGAACGCCACCACCTACGACCATAAAGACACTAACCGAGGGCCACCACCTACAACCATCTATGCACACAGCACAAAATAGGCGGAGATGAGATAAAACGAGAACACGAGTGACGACATAATTCATCAAAGGAACAAAACAACACACAGGCACTCAAATTTGGCCAAAAATAAAGAATGTCCATGACAAAACTAGTTTAGGCATTTTGACGAACAGATGGGGTGCACTAGCTAAGAGAGAAAAACCGAGCCGATTGAGGCTTCGACTTGTATCGAGACTCATGACAATCAATGAACAACAACCCAAAACACCAACACATAGACGGAGGGGCCGGGACTCGCACGAACAAGAGGACGACGAAGTCTGGTCCAGCGAGCCCGAAACAGGGCATGAAAAGGGGATGGCCATAGGTCCCTACCCAGATTTGGCCAAAAAGGCGCCGGCGACGAGAGGCGACGAGCTGGGTTGCGTTCCTGCGGCCGTGCGGCAACTAAGAAGGCAACTCGTGAAGAGAGAGACTAAGAGAGACAGAGGAGGCGCTCGTGACTTTAGTCTAAAATGATGTTAGGGTTTCTTTACAATAGCTTAAAACCGGTTCTAAAACCGGGCCGGCTCCCGAGTGAGTTTTTACTTGGAACCTAGAACCGAATCGGTTCTAACCAGTTCCCAAAAAATAGAACCGGTTCCCAGATCGGTTCAAATAGGAATCGGTTCCCAGACCTATTTTTCAAGTGGACTGGTCCGGTTCCCGGATAAACCCGGTCTGGTTGCACACCCCTAATTTATAGGTCATCTGTGAGCATTAAATGAAATAGTCGCTGTCCTTTCCGACCAAAAGAAAAAGGTTTCCACCATTTTGAATTCACTAGAGCGTGGATAAGATGAGATAATTGCTCTATACACAATACAAAGATATAGGAAGAGAGAGAGAATCACCTTGATTTATCCCCCTAGATGGTAAGAAGGCTTCCAAAGTCTCACCATTCCACAAAGCCTGCATGATTGAAGAGGTGATGCATTCCATACTAAGCTGAATCGGTGATTCTGGAATACCTATCAAGTGGAGAGTTTCCTCAATGAAGGACCATTTCAGTCGATCATATTCTTTCTCCAAATCAATTTTTTATAATCATGTGCCCTCGTTTCCCTTGGGATTTGCTCATTAAGTGAATTGCTCCTTATACAATAATAACATTATCCTGAATGTGTCTATCGGGAACAAAGCTGGGTTTGATTAGGCAAGATAAGATGTGATAGAACATCCTTTAATCGGTTAATGATCACTTTGGAGAGAATTTTATAAGCGACATTACACAAACTAATTGGCCGGAATTGTTGATTGTCTCTGGTTGCTGCGCTTTTGGAACCAACACTAGGCGTGCGTTTGGTTTAGTATTTTGAAGGGGTTTTGGGAAAATGCAAAGCAGTTTAGCCTAACGGGCTTTGAGGAAATATAAAGACTGTTTGGTAAACTCTATTTTGAAAAACAACTTTGAGAGAAAAACTGTTTGGTGAAAACACATTTGGAAAGTCCATTTGGGTGATTAATTTAAAGTTTTTGATTTTTTATTGGTTTAAAATTGAAAAAAAATGTCTGCAACTTTTTTAATTTAAATATTGACAACAATGTTAAAAGATATCATGTAAACAATTTTATTAAAAAAATAAAATTTCTTCTTTTTGCTAAAAAAATTCAAATGGAAAATTCACATCAAAGTGGTCTCTTTCTCAATTAAAAAAAGAATACTTTCATTACAATAATCCTGGTAACATATGCCCCGACGAAAGAAATTCATTGTCCTTAAAAATTACAAACATCCTTAAATATTTCATAAACTTATAGCTATTTGATCACGTAAACGTGCCATGTCAGAAGCAGAGTTATCATTTGAAGCACTACTCTTCTCATTTACATCATCGGTATATAAATTGGGATCCAAATCTACTTTTGCAAAATGTGCATCATTCACAGTATTTCTTCGTATATAATTGTGCAAAGTCATTGCCGCTATCACAATTTTTACTTGCTTTTTGTATGGATAACTTGGCATACTCTTTAGACTCTTCCACTTTTTCTTCAATATGCCAAAGGCATGCTCAATTTCTGATTGCAGTGAGGAGTGGGCACGGTTGAACACTTCTTTATAGCTCGTAGGTGCCGGACCTCGTTGAAACTCAGGCAAATGATACATAACTTCTTTGTATAGATCCAAGTAACCCGTGGGATTTGGATATCCAGAATCTACTAAATGGTATTTACCTACACAAAAAAATTGTAAATTTAATCAACATATACCACATGCATATATTAATGTATAAAAATCATTAATTAATGAATCTTTCGGAGGATGAGGAAA